CCATTTATCAATTGGGGAATGACTTGTATTCTTATCAATTAGACTCAGTTCTCTATTTATTTTAGAAATGAGGCCCTTATCAGAGAGACTGGTTGTAAAAATTCTTTCCCAGTTTTCTGCTTCCCTCCTAATCTTGGTTACGCTGGCTTTGTTTGTGCAAAAACTTTTCAATTTAATGTAATCAAAATTATCCGTTTTGCATTTCATAATGTTCTCTATCTCCTGTTTGGTCATGAATTCTTCCATTCTCCATAGATCTGACAGGTAAACTATTCCTTGCTCTCCTACTTTGTTTATAGTATCAGCCTTTATAGCTAAATCATGAATACATTTTGACTTTATTTTGGTATATGGTGTGAGATTTTGATCTATGCCTAGTTTCTGCCATACTCTTTTCCAGTTTTCCCAGCAGTTTTTGTCAAATAGTGAGTTCTTATGCCAGAAGCTGGGGGTCTTTGTGTTTATCAAATAGTAGATTACTATAGTCATTGACTGCTGCGTCTTGCGTACCTAGCCTATTCCACTGATCCACCACTCTATTTCTCAGCCAGTACCAAGCAGTTTTGATGATTGCTATTTTATAATACAACTTAAGATCTAGTGTAGCTAGACCACCTTCCCCTGCATTTCTTTTCATTAGTTCCCTTGATATTCTGGACTTTTTGTTATTCCAAATGTTATTACTTTATTTTAAAAAAATTATCTTTGTTGTAAGTGATGGTTCTATGGAAGAAGGAGTGATAGAAAGGGAAATGTGGAAACAGAGTCAGGCAGCAGTGAAGTGACTTGCCCAGGGTCCCACAGCTAGTCAGTGTGTGAGACAGGTTTTGAACTCAGATCTTCCTGACTTCAGGCCCAGCACTTTATCCACCGCACCATCAGCTGTCTCTGAAAATGAAAACTATAGTCCCTGCTATAGAGGAGTTTATAATCTAGTAGGCATAAGAGCCATAAAACAAATGATGAAAGGACAAGTATAATGTGAAGAAAAGAGAATTCCACACAAATTCATCAGGGGCGGGTCACTGAACCAGCTACTGTGCCATCGTTTGCTGACTCAGACAGGGTAAGTCAGATCATGCCCACTTTACAGATGAGGACACTGACATCTTGGGAGACCCTGGCAGGGCAGGATCAGACCCAGGGCTTGTGACCTCCCAGAAGACCATGGTATCATAGAAAGGGCACAGGATCCAAGGATCTGGGTTCGAATTCTGACACCACCATTTACTGCCTATGTGACCTTGGGCAAGTCACTGTCTTTCTCTGTCTCAGTTTCCTCAACTGTAAAATGAGGAGGTTGGATGTGATGACCTCTAAGGTCACTTCCAGCTTTTAACCCACCCTGAAATAGCATTTTTTAATGAATAAACAGGAGGCAGATAGACAACTGCAGCTCACTTATCAGGTGTGATTTGAGTACAAGGTCCCACAGTGAGGTTTGTAAGCCTGGTGGCCCAGTGGTCGGATCCCTGCCTTTCTCAGACCTTCTAGGTCCTTTGGAACACCCTACTAGAAAAACAGAGAAAACAGCTTGGTTCTATTTGCAACTCTCTTGTCAAGAGGGAAAATAGAGAAAAATTCTACCTCCAGGCATTTAAAGAAATGCTTAGGCCCAGCCAGGGGAGAATAAGGATGCTGTTCAGGGGTCACAGGAACAGAGGACCATTGATGTTTTCTCACTGAATCCCCACAACCCTGTGAGACAAGTATATGTGCTAACCCGAACTGGGGCATCACTACCCCAAGGCAGCCCCTTTACCCCTCCTTGCTGTGACAGCAGATTTCCTGGCCCACTCCCCAGAGAAAGGACCCTGGCCTTCTCTTCTCCTTCGAGCCCCACCGCACTAAGGATCACCCTCTTCTCACTTGGTTATGGGGATGGCTGTCTGTCTGTCTGTGTGTCTTTGTCTCTCTGTCTCCGTCTCTGTTTTTTTCTCTCTGCCTCTGTCTCTGTGCCTCTCTCCTCTCTCTCTCTGTCTCTGTCTGTCTCTGTCTCTATCTCTGTCTCCATCTCTCTGTCTCTCTCTCTCTCTCACTCTCTCCTGGTTCTCCTCCTCCCTCTCTGACCGATGCTTCTTCATCTCCTTTGCTTGATTCTCCTCCAGATCGCGCCCTAACTTTCAGCATTCTTTCCCATCTGCCATCTAGTCCGACCATTTCATTTTACCAATGAGGAAACTGAGGCACGGGGAGGTTAAGTGACTTGCTCATGATGGACTAGATGGCCTCTTGGTCTCCTCCAACTCCGAAATTCTGTGATTCCCTGATTTCTTCAATGACAAGAAGAATAACATGAAGGAAAACTTCCAAGACAGGCTTGGGCCTCTGACTGAGCAGCAGTCACAGAGGACTTTCCAGGACTGGGGATGGACGAGGCACATTCTGGCAGACCGGGCCAACAGCACCATTGTCTGATTGTTTGTTTGCAGGACTCCCCTCGTTTGTTATAGGAGGGAGGGTCGGAGCTGGTGGAGAGGGACAACAGTGATAATGACCATTATGGAGTCACCTGAGGGCTGCTCATCTCCAGGCACTCTGAGAAGCCCTCTTAGTAATCTAGGAAGTTCTTTAAGCTAAGATTATGAAGTCACAGAGGTGATGCTGACCTACACTGGTAAAGGGAGTTCCCTTGCCTGGGAGTTCCTTATACCAATGAAATCACAGGTACAATCCCTATCCCTGGCTAAAGAAAAATACTCTTTGCTCCTTGGTTCCGGATTCATTGACATCTCTGCCACGCAGTCTGGGGGTTGATAGCACTGGGCAAAGGTTGAAACAAATAAAGATTTCTCAGCCTGAAGTCACTCCTATTATGAAGGCCAGGCATCTCTGTCAGCTGCTGGACAATCCCAGGGACTTGAGGCTCCTTGGGAAGGTGGGAGAATAGGGGGTGGGGATGATGGGGTGCTGGGGTGCTGGTACTCACATCTCCCTTCCAAGATCATATTTCTCCCTGGCCTCAAGACACTATTCCTGGCAGTTTCCCTCCAGCCCAAGGACCCTCTCTCTGGCAGTGACTCATGAGTGGGTCCAGTGAGGCAAACCATCTCTCCCTGTTACAAGAACAAGCTGACCTCTGTAGAATTTCCCTTGTATGAACAGGACCATCTTGTACCAGCAGAACTATCAGGTACTGATGCCCACGGTTACTGTATATAATCCAGAGGTCAAGCTATAGACGTCAACTCCCAAAGCTATCTTGTTACAGACATAACAGACCAAAACACACCCTTTAAGAACCTTCTCTTCCTCACCCCACCCCCCAGGTTTTCAGTAGTGAATGACGTAGTTGTATGTTATCACCTAATTAGCATACTTGGCACATAATTCACTACTTTTCCTATATAAGCTTTAGCATCATTCCTGTTAGGTTCCAGGTTCCTTAAGGATCTCTGCCCGCTATATAGCATAACAATAAATCTTTGCCACCTTGACCCAAAGAATGCTTGAGTCTGTGAATTCATTCCAGACGTCCCCTTCCTATACTCTGGTCCTTGAGGGGTCTAAACCTCTCAGACCTCAACAGGAAGGGGGAGAATCCTCACTTTAGTGGTGACGACCAGACCAAGTCAGCCAGGTGCTGGACGGGACTCTGGTGCTGCCGTGCTCAGCCCCATTCCTGACATGACTGGCCAGCCTCCTCACAAACACACCTTTGGAAGTTTTACTGGGAGTGGTTGCTGAGGAGGAAAACAAACACCCAGATTTGTCCTACAGCCCAGCTCTAGGCCAGGCCATCAGCCCTTGTATCTGAACTCTGGTTTGTGTGTGGAATGCAAAGGGCCCTGGACTTCAGACTTGGGACACCCAGGTTCGGACACCAGCTGCCTGGCAATTACCAGCAGTTACGTGGGGCAAATCACTTTACCTGCTCTGAACCTTAGTCTCCTCCTCTGTCACTTGGGAATAACAACCCTGGCCCTACCACCTTCCTAGGATTATCACAGGGCGAGTGTTCTGGAAACCCCAAATGCTCAAGAAATGGAGATTCTCCTCCTCCTCCTCTTCCTTCCTCTTCTTCTTCTTCTTCTTCTTCTTCTTCTTCTTCTTCTTCTTCTTCTTTCTTCTTCCGAGTGAATAAAAGAAAATCTCACAGCCTTATTAGGATGGAAGGCACATGGTATGGAAAGTCCAGGAACAGGGAAGAAAGCTCAGTCTTCTGTTGCCTGGGGGTCCTCAGAGGTGTCCACCCCAGAGCTTGGAGGCAGACTGCCACTGCACTATTGTGAGACTTGCAGGCTTGAGTCAAATGGTTGAGGGAAACCCTCTGGGAAGATGGGCAGCATGGAGCTGGGATTCCTCCCATGAGTCCTTTTGTCACAGCCTAAATGCTCATTTTGGGACCCACAGAGAGGTTTCTGGGCATTTGGAGACTCCCAATGAATCCATGATGGTGGGAAGAGAGGGGAGGCTAAGACAAACCTGGGACAAGTGGATCCGCAGGATTCAGAGTCAGATCCCCTGAGACCAGACCCTGTTTCTGCTCCCTGGTGACTGGGCAGATCCCCTCCTGTGGTGAAGCCTTAGTTTCATTCTCTGTGAAATGAGGAGATTGGACTGGATTCTTTCCAGGATTCCTCCAGCTCTCCTTTACTCCCTCAGTGAATCCAACAGATTCCAGCTACACTTTGATGCCAGACCCATCATGGCATGAACCCAGAATACAAACAATCATTCATCTATCTATAGGATGATAAGCCTAACAAAGTGCTCTCTTCACAAGAATCCTCTGAGGTACACAGTGTAACTCAGACTGTCCCCATTTTACAGATGAGGAAGCTGAGATCCAAAATGGCAAAGGGACCTTCCCAAAGTCCCACTGCTGTTGGTGTCAGCTCTGGGACTCAAACCCAGTTCTCTTGACCCTAGGTTCAATGCTCTTTATTTATGGATGCCCTTTTCTAGAACATCTCAATCATTTACTCAAGGTATCCCCTATCCTTAGCACCACCCCAACTTACCCTAGTGATAAAGAGGATCCCCCATACACGACTGACCTTGTGAGTGGTTCTGCCCACTGATGAGCCTGCTTTCTTACGAGAGGAGGCCTTTTGTGGCATCTTTCATGCTCCAGAACCAAGGTGGAGCCTTGCAGTGAATCTACGTAGGGTTGCCTCTTGCCTCTGGTTTCATTTACATTGCAGAAGTAAGGGAGTATGCTCTTCTCCTGGTTCTCCTTCCTTCATTCTCTGGCCCCTCCTACACCTTCTCCCACAATTCTCTGATAATGCATTACATTCAGACACACAATTTGTGCCAAGACAAACGTGTCAGTATATTTTGTTTCCCCAACAGAATGTGAGTGCCTTGAGGACAAAGACTATTTGGAGTTTGAGTTTGTAAAGCCGGTCCATGGCATTTGGTGGGTGTTTACTAAGTTTGTTTATTACAGAGGAGACCATATTTCCCCTCTGTTCTTTTTTCTAATATTTTACTTTTTTTTTCTGATTACATGTTAAAGCAATTTTTTTAACATCTAAAAAAATTTTTGAGTTTGAAATTCTATCCTTCCCACTCTCCTTGAGACAGTAAGTAATCAGATATAGGTTATAATATGCAATTATGTAAAACATTTCCATAATAGTCATTTTGTACATGAAGACAAATAAAAGAACAAAATGAAAGAAAGAAAGTGAAAAATAGCACCCTTCAGTCTGTATTAAATCACTATCAGTTCTTTCTCTGGAAGCAGATAGCATGTTTTGTCATTAGTCCTTTGGGATTGTCTTAGATCATTGTATTGATGAGAAGAGCTAAGTCATTCACAATTGATTGTGGTTACAATGTTGCTGTTATTGTGTACAATGTTCTCCTGGGTCTGCTCACTTCCCTTTGCATCAGTTCATGTAAGTCTTTCTAGGTTTTTCTGAAATCATTCTGTTTATCATTTCTTCTAGCACAATAATATTCCATTACAATCATATACCATAATTTGTTTAACCATTCCCTAATTGATGGGCATCCCTTCGATTTCCAATGCTTAACCACCACAAAAAGAGCTGCTCTAAATATTATTTATTTATTTATTTAAAAAATTTATTTATTTTTAGTTTTCAACATTCACTTCCACAAGATTTTGAGTTCCAAATTTTCTTCCCATCTCATCCCTCCCCCACCCCAAGATGGCATGCATTCTATATACCCCTTCCCCTAATCTGCCCTGCCTTCTATCCCTCCCCCCTTCTCTTATCCCCTTCCCTTTCTATTTTCCTGTAGGGCAGGATAGATGTTTATACCCCATTTCCTGTATTTCTCATTTCCCAGTTGCATGTGAAAACAATTTTTGTAATGTGTTTTTAAAACTTTGGGTTACAAATTTTCTCCCTTCTTCTCTCCCCCCCATTGAAAAGACAAGCAACTTGATACAGGTTATACATGTGTAGTCATGCAAAACACTTCTATAGTAGTCATGTTGTGAAAAACTAAGTATATTTCCCTTTGTCCTATGCCACCCTCCCCATTTATTCTATTCTCTCTTTTGACCTTGTCCCTCCTCAGAAGTGTTTGCTTCTGATTACCCTCTCCCCGAATCTGCCCTCTCCTCTATCATCCCCCTTCTCTCTTGTCCCCTTCCCCCCTTATTTTCCTGTAGGGTAAGACAGATTTCCACACCCAATTGAATGTGTGTGTTATTCCCTCCTTAAGCCAAATCCTATGAGAATAAGATTCACTCATTCCCTCTCACCTTCCGCCATTTTGCTATAAATATTTTTGTACAAATAAGTCCTTTTCCCTCTTTGGGGATGTATTTGGGATATAGTTCTAGCGGTGCTATTTCTGGATCAAAGGGTATGCAGTCATGTACCATTTTGATTTTATCTTGGTATATGGTGTGAGATGTTGGTCTATGTTCTGTGAAGTTTGGATTCAGCCAAAGGACTGCACTTGAGGACTTAGAGGGCCACATGTGGCCTCGAGGCTGCAGGTTCCCTACCAACGGACCTAGTTGCTACCATATTGTTTTCCAGTTTTCCCAGCAGTTTTTGTCAAATGAGTTTTTGTTTCAAAGTCTTGGATCTTTGGGTTTATCATATGGCCCGGGTCTGTACAACTTGCAGCCTGTTAAAGGATTTCAGGCCGCCCGCAAAAAATGTAGAGGAAAACATCCTCTGCCTGGAATCCTTTGGCAGGCTATAGGTTGTGCAGGCCTGATATAGTAGGTTATTGTGGTCACTTACTATAATGTATCGTGTACCTAACCTATTCCACTGATCTCCCACTCTATTTCTTAGCCAGAACCAGATTGTTTTGATAATTACTGCTTTATAATATAGTTTGAGATGCGGTATGGCAAATCCCTCTGTTTTTGATGTCCAGGGACATCTGCCAGCAGTGGGAAGGTTGGGTCAGAGAATGGGCACAGTCCTGAGTTTAATTTCATACCATTTGGCAGTGAGATTAGGACCACTCATAGTCCAACAGACTCCCTGTGTACATGCCTTGACATCTTTATCAATCTGGCGGACATGAGGTGAATCCTCACCGTGACTTTAGTTTGCTTTTCTCTTGGTGGTAATTAGGAGCATTTTTCTATGTTTCTTGACAATGTGGGTTCATTCCCACTGCCCCCTGATCTAGTCCATGAGCACTGTCTCTGGGGCTTACAGGTAACCCCAGGTATGAAAGGTACCTTATGGGGTCCTCTATATCGTTTTGAGGCTGTGGTTTTACTGTAATCTCTAGTGAAAGACGCTGCTCTAGGGCTGACTTAGGCCAAACAACTCTCTGGTCCTTCGGGGAGTCCTTTCCAGGTGGCTCCTGGCCTGGGGTTTATCAAATTCTGGGCTTCTGTGTTTGATCACATCTGGGTCTCACTGATCCAGACTGTTCCACTAGTCTGCTTTTTGATTTTTAGTCCTTATTAAATTGTCTTGATGACGCCTTCACAGAACAGTGCACTGAAGGGCCCCCTTTCGTGCCGACTTTTAAAAATCCCTTCCTTCTCATTCGCCACATGCATCATGTTGGGCTTTTATCACTCAATTCTACCAAGTGATGCCCTGGTAGTCCAACTGGTTTGCCTTCCAATCTATACATTCATTTTGGTGTGTTTATTTATGCTTAGGTATGGTTATTTTGTACATTGGTACAGCCCAAGAACTCACAGCATATGTCTTCCTGATCAATTTTTCCTTTATTCCATGGTGTTTCGTAATTTTATTTTTAAAAGTCCTGCATGTGTATTGATAGACTAACACACCAATATTGTCTGCACTGTGTAGTTATTTTGAATGGAGTTTCTTTTTCGGGCTCTCCTTCCTGGGTTTGACTAGTAAAACACGAAAGGCTGGTGGATCATGTAGGATTAGTTTGTATCCTGCTAATTTTTTTCTGTGATGGCTTCTTTCTTCTTTGCTATGCCGCCTTCATTCTGGAGCCCCCAAACACCTGGTATTTCTTGGTCATGCCCAGATGGCAGCGTATCATCAGTTAATGTAATCAACATGAGGTAAGCTGTGTAGCTTACGCAACAGGGCACTGTGCCCAGTGGAAACTCAGAACCCCACAGTGGTGACCGGTGAGGGGAAGGCAGGAGCATGTAGAAGGCTTCTGCTGTGTGCCAGGCACCGTGCTGAGCACTTTCTAAAACATTATCTCATCAGATAACTAAGAAAGGCACATCGATACAGACGTCTGGCTCAGTAAGTAGCAGGTCACAGAAAGTCAGAGTCAGAAGACGCCTCAGAGATAGAATTAGAATCCCTCAGTTTATCAGTTTGAGTAAGAAGCTCAGAAAGAGCTGATTGGGCCAAGGGAGGTGAATGACGATGCTGAGGCTGAGGCCAGAGCCCTGACTCCAGGGCCAGGGGACTGCTTCCCTAGACCCTCAATGCCTCGGTGGTCATGCGCCATCCTAGCCTCCTCTCCCCTCCCTCCACATCTGGTGAAAGGGAAACGTCTGGTCCGGGAGGAGCCCTGGCCTGGGCACCAGAGCCCTCCAGCCAGAGGTGACCCCCATCCAGCTAGCCAGCAGCCTCTAAACAAAAGCCCTTCTGCCTTGGAAGCCACTTACTCACTACCTTCCTATGGAAAGCCTGCTGCCTTGTCCTAGCATTTAGAATAGGAAGGCATCTTAGAGGGCATTGGGGCTGGGGCCCTCATTTTGTGGTTGTGGCTGTCCTGTTGTGTCTGACTCTTTGTGACCTTATTTTGGGTTTTCTTGGCAGAGATATTGAAGTGGTTTGCCATTTACTTCTCCAGCTCATTTTACAGATGAGGAAACTGAGGCAGACAGGGTGAAGTGGCTTGCCCAGGTGACATAGCTAGTCAGTGTCTAAGGCCAGATTTGAGTTCAGGAAGAGAAGTTTTCCTGAATCCAGGCTCAGCACTCTGACTATTGAGCCAACTAGCTACCCTTCATTATACAGGGGAGGAAACTGAGGCTGAGGGAAAGACGATGCCTTGCTCAAAGTTACACAGCTGGTAAGTGTCCAGAGCTCAGCCTCCAGTTCCTAGCCACATGAAGCAGGACAGCTCACCATCTCAGTGGGTAAGAATCACTCTAGCTCCTGCCCCTAGGGTTCCCTGAAGCCCTTCTGGGGTATGACCTTAGCTTCTACTGGCCCCTGCCCACATCTACTGAGCCTGGTTAGAAGTGCAAAGTGGATTCATTTGGTCCGAGAGAAGAGCTCCCCCAAAGCAGACAATGTAGCCCTAGTCTGCTGTACCCCAGTGGGGGAGGGGGTAGAGCTGCTGCACCTCAGTGGGGGAGGGGGCCAGAGCTGTTTCTCCTCAGTGGGGGAGGGGGCAGAGCTGCTTCTCCAGTCTTTTCCTTACATCTCACTGCCTGGCAGGAGGCCTGTTTACCAGCCCTGCAGGCACCTTGGCCTCTGGGAGATGAGTCACCAATCTCACTGCACTTCTTGGCACCCCTCACAGCTGCTTCCGGCCTTTGCCCCCTATGCTGGAACAGTTTGTCTTCTCTCCTGTCACTTAGGGCTGTTGCTTTGGGGACCTCTCAGCTGCACCAACTGGAAACAAAGGTGCCCACGGAGAGTATCGTCCTTTTTAAAAAAGACTTTTCTTGAGGAAAAGCCACTGGGGTGGAAAGAGGCTTAGATCTGGGGAGAGGAGCCTGACCTCAAACCCTGCTCCCTTCAGCAAGTCCTGGAAACGTTGGGGGCCTCAGTTTCTAGGCCCCTTTTCCGGTT